ACTGCATAATTTGTGGTAGTGGGGGACTGCGTTCGCGCTCTCCCCTGATATTCCTTGGTTGCAAAGAAAGCTTATGTTGTTATTGGGATGGCTGATTAGGACTTTTATGTTGAGAACACTAGTGACGATCATAGTTGCTTGCTAGCTTTCACATATTTTTTGTCTATTATCGTGTTTTGATGTTTAGCAGTCAGCCCTGCTAATACTGTCTTTGCAGCCTGCTGTGATTTAGCTCTGACTTCCAGTAGTCAGTTCAGTTGAATGCTGTAATATTCAGAATTAGATGTGTTAAATCTGCCTTCTCCCTCTCTTCCTTAATCCTTTCTAATACCCTACCTACCCTGCAGCTGCAGTTTATGTTTACAGTGCCTTCAGAACTCAAGGTGTAGTTTACACCAGGTAAAATGTTATATGTAGCTTGACTTTCAAGTTTAAATACTTACGTTAGAAATAATAAACTGAGTAAATAAAAAGTGGTTTGCAAACATTTGGAGGGCAGGGTTGGGGTGAGGCCAACATATTCTGCATACAGAATACCAGATCAAGCTATGTTGTGGCTTTTGTTGTTTTGTTGTTGTAAAGCATAAACAAAATTTAAACGAGAGGACTGTGAGTTAGTATAGACCGCCTAGCATAAACACCTAGTAGAACACCCAGCATGTTCAAAGTTACTTGAGTTCAAACCAGCCCTGAAGAAAAAAAAGACGAGTTCTAACTTTGTGTGTTTTGTTTCTTTGGAGGGAGGTGGTTCAAGACAGGGTTTCTTTGTATGACAGCGGGGCTGTCCTCATTTTGTAGATTAGGCTGTCCTCGAACTCACAGAAATTCATGTGCTTCTTCCTCCTGAGTGCTGGGTTTAGAGGAGGTGTGTGGGTGTGTGCCACCACACCCAAAGGTTGTAAGTGTTTTGCTGGCATGTGTGTAGGCACACCACATGCATGACCGGCACCTAAGGAAGTCAGAAGAGGGCATTAGACACTCTGGAACTGGAGTTCTGGACACTTGTGTGTGAGGTACCATGTAGATTTTGCGTGTTGGGAACATTCCCACACTCTAACTTGTATGTTATTATAATGAAGCTGGTTGTAAGGAGTGCACAGTTATAGTTCAAACACTGGGAAAGTAGAAGTAGAAGGCTCATGCATTCATAGTCATCCTTCTCCACATAACAAGTTCTAGACCCGCCTGCACCAGTAATTATAATATACTAACAGATTTAAGTATGTGTAATATGCAGTAATATTTCCACAAATTTAGGGGTCAGTGGATGACCCTGATACATCCATATTCATTCATTCCACAAGAATATGTGGCATCCACATATTCTTTCTGATATAGACCAGTTACATCTTACCTTACCCAGGGCTAGTAGTTTCCCTTTTGCAGATCCTTAGACAGACTATTTCTAACATGTAACACATATATTGACCTCACTGTCCAAATACTTAAAAACAAAAACAAAAAAAAAGTACTGTCAGGTGGTGGTGGTGTACACCTTTAATCCCAGCACTCGGGAGGCAGAGGCAGGTGGATCTCTGAGTTTGAGGCCAGCCTGGTCTACACAGTGAGTTCCAGGACAGCCAGAGCTACACAGAGAAACCTTGTCTTGAAAACAAAACTAAATTAAAAAGTACTGTCAGTTTCTTGTGGCAGGGTCTCACTTGAAATGATCTACGTGAAGTATTTACTGACAACCACACTGATTAAGCCAATTAAAAGCCTCTTGGTGCCCAAGCTCAAGGATACAGAAATTTAAAAGACACCCCATAATTGAATCAGTGCTCAGGGAAGATAGGCTACTTAAGGATTTGGAGAGGCTTGGTAAAATCTGCTTTCTTTGCAAGGCCCCAACGCGTCTTCTAGACACTACGTAATTTGTTTGGACCATGGCCAGTCCAGGAAGCTGCCAAGGTGGAGGCAGCTGTGAGAAGTAGGAGGATAAGAAGTGACCAGACAGACATAAAGTGAAGTTGGGACAGGATGGCACTACCTTAGCAATTTCATCACTCTGTAGTTAATACTTCAACCATGAAGGAAGGACAAATCTAGTTCTTACCTGAAAGTTGTGAGAATTAAACCTGTGGTGGTGGTGGGGTGCTGGTGGGGCTGTTCGTGTTTTTTCCCTTGGCAACTGTAGTGTCAAGGCCTTCTGAAGTTTTAGGAGTATTTCTTGTTCCTTTTCAGTTTCACTTGAGAGCATTTAATTGGCCAGGTGGTTTTTTAAACTGTTGCTGGCTAGCTCTGGTTGCAATAGGAATAAGTACTCTTTTTGGTCTTTGAGGGCACTTCAGGCTCACAAACTGCCCCATACACTTTTATAACGATAAAGTTCTGTGAGCAGTGTGTGTGAGTGCTGGGAACCAAGCTCAGACTTCCAGCCAAGAGAAGCAAAACCATGTCTCCAGCCCCACGTTAGTTAGCACCCTACATGGCTGCACACTTTGTGAGAACAAGGATGGATTTAAATCCAGGCAACATTTACAAGTACTCAGTCCTCACAGAATTTTGTGCTTAACAGAATTCTTTTTGCAGTTTCGGGAACAGAAATACCGAGGATTTGACCGATTCTCTTAAATGCAGTAGCGCTTGGCTTGAAACAACCAATCTTGCTATCTTATTCAGAGTAGTCCCTGAGAGGTCATAACACATCCAAGCCGAAACTGTTGTTAATAGCAAAAGATGCTAGAAAAAAAGGTAAAATCTCTTTAGCGTTGTGATAGTAACGCGGGTGGTTTAAGAGTTAACACATCCGGAAGAGAAATGCAAAGGGGGAAAAAAAAAAAAAAACCTTGAGAAGACGTCACTAAAAGGGGCGGGGATATGCAGATATACCAAAGCCTGTCCCTGTTCTACTGCATTTTTTGGCTAGAGAGTATTTTCTACAAGTATATAAAAGTTTGTGCTCTCATCTATGTAATATAGAAAATTGTGTAGTCTCGAAAGGAAGTCCAAAAGAATGTGTAGTGTAAATGACCGTGACTGAAAAGTGTGTTGATATCAGGGTGAGGTAGTACTGAAGCCACTACAACTCATACTTACCTGGCAGGGGAGATACCATGATCACGAAGGTGGTTTTCCCAGGGCGAGGCTTATCCATTGCACTCCGGATGTGCTGACCCCTGCGATTTCCCCAAATGCGGGAAACTCGACTGCATAATTTGTGGTAGTGGGGGACTGCGTTCGCGCTCTCCCCTGGTATTGTGTTCAAACGTTAGAAAAGTGGTGTAGAGGTTCCTTGGTTGGTAGAGATTTTTTCCATTTTAAAGTAGCTCTGTAGCTTTTTAATTAACAGTCTTAATAATCAGTGACTGCTATTACTAGAGGAGGCTGTCTCACCTTTCCAGCTGCATTCAAGTTGTATAGAAAGGTCCAGGGTTCCAGCTCTTGGGAAGATCCCACATAACCGCTGTACTTTTGAGTTTACTTTCTGAGTCTTCTGTTTGAGACAGGGTTTCTCTGTGTAGCCTTAGCTGTCCTGGAACTCAGGTTACAGCTGGCTTGACCAGGCTGGCCTTGAACTCAGAACTTAGAGATCTACCTGCCTCTCCCTCCCCAGTGCTAGCATTGAAAGTGTGTGCTGCCACTGCCCAGCTTTAAGAGAGCATTTAAACCAGCCTTGGTTACGAATGCCTGTAATCCCAGCACTCAGGGAGGCAGAGGCAGGTGGATCTCTGTGAGTTTGAAGCCAGCCTGATCTACAAAATGAGTCCAGGACAGCCAAGGCTACAAAAAGAAACCCTGTCTCAAAAAACCAAAATAAATAGAAAGACAGATAGATAAAGCATTTAATTGGGGGCTTGCTTACAGTTTCAGAGGGTCATGGGAGGAGCATGGCAGCATTCATGGCACTGGAATGTAACTGAAAGCTACATTCAGATCTGCACACAGAGCGGGGAGGGGAAAGAAGGAGGAGAGTGAGGGGGAAAGGAAGGATGAAGAGGGAGACAGAGAGGGGACTTGGCATGAACTTTTGAAAGCTCAAAGCCCACAACCAGTGACAGACAGACTTCCTCCTACAAGTCTGCATGCTCTGATCCTTGTAATTTTTCTGAACAGTTCCACTCTCAGGTGAGTAAGCATTCAAATACATGAGCCTATGGGGAGCATGTTTAGTCACACAAGTTCGGAAGTGTCAGAAAAAGATGCAAGAATTAAACTGGCAGAATGGAAACTCAGTTTTATCTTCATGCTGAGAGCAGCTTTTATGGATCTGAGAATGGTGCCCAAAGACCCAGCAGCTCCTGCAGGAGAAGAGCTGAGAGCAGTTTTTTGTAGTTGTGAGAGGGGGAGGGATGCTTTCACACTCAGAAACTACTTTTCAGGATAAACTTTTTCGAAACAGCAGGGTGGGAAAAAATAGCAGATCACCTGTTGTTTTTTTGTTTGTTTTGTTTTGTTTTTTCCAAGCTTTGGGCTCCTGGGTATATGGTGCGGGTTGCTTGCTTTCAGGGGATTCCATGAATGTCAGATTTCCTAAAACCTCGGCTTTGTTTTAGGTTCTGATGGTTTTGAAGGGATTTTCCTTTAGGAGAGAGGAGAAAGGAAAGAGAAAGATCTTGCTTCCTTGCATTTTGAGGTATTAGGATAATGTATTGTTTGTTCTCTTTTTAAACAGAATGTCTCGGGCTGTTCGTTTTCCAGTCCCTTGTCCGGTGCAGCTTGGTACCTTAATAGATGACTCCTTGGAAGCTCAGCTTCATGAATATGCCAAACAAGGGAACTATGTGAAAGTGAAGAAAATTCTTAAGAAAGGTAAGTAGAGGGGGCTGGAGAGATGGCTTAGAGGTTAGGAGCACTGGCTGTTCTTCCAAGGGCCCTGAGTTCAATTCCCAGCAACCACAAGGTGCCTCATAACCATCTGTAGTAAGATCTGGTGTCATCTTCTGGTGTGCAGGCACCAGGAAAATAAAATAAAAAAGGAAGGAAAGAAAGGTAAGTATGGTGTTAAGATGGCAGAGGCAACATAACCCATATTTCTGTTTTGTGTTTGGTGAAAAACAGTGCCAGGGCTGGGTTTGGTGGCCCACACCTTTAAAACATTCAGGAGGCAGAGGCTGGCAGATCTCTGAGTTCAAGGCCAGCTTCCTCAAAAAATGAATTCAAGGCCAGCCAATCTATAAAATGAAATCCTGTCTTAAAAAAAAACAAAAACAAAACCAAAAACGAATGCCAACAAAGTTCTGTTTTAAACAAACAAAAGCAGAGTTGGGTCTAGTTCAGCAGGAGTAGTGTTTGTATAGCACACATGCAGTCCAGGTTCCATCCTCAGTACCACATAGAAAACCAGATGCGTGGGCTGCTGTCTGTAATCCCGGCACTGAGGAGGTAGAGCAACCAGGATCAGGCCTTTAAAGTTGTCCCTAGCTGCCTAGTGAGTTGTCTACCTGAGACTCTGTCTCAAAACTCTAAAAGCCAGGGCTGCAGGGGATGGTTAAGAGCACATACTGCTCTTCAGACCCACATTAATCAGCTGTGACAGCTTGTAACAGAACTCGGAGCAATGTGACCCTCTGTTGTCCATGGGTAGCTGGGTGTCTGTGTTCTGTCATGTTCATCCACAGTTAAAGCAGTAACAATAGACCAGGTGGCTGTGGTGCTGCCTCTAATCCCAGCACTCTGTCAGAGATCTGCCGCCAGATCTTTGTGAGTTTGATACCATCCTGATCTATATATCAAGTTTGAGGCCACACAGAGAAACCCTATCTTGAAAAACCAAGAAACCAACCAAACAAACAAAGTAATAAAAATAAAACCAGAACCAGGGCTGGAGACATGGCTCAGTGATTAAGAGCACTGTCTGTCTGCTTTCCCAGAGGTCCTAAGTTTAATTCCCAGCAACCACATGGTGCCTCACAACTGTCATACAGGTGTACATGCAGATAGAGCACTCATACATAAAAATGAATAAATAAGTAATAAAACCAGAACCAAACCAGACAAAAACTGGGTGCCGAGATTATAGGTGTGTGCCACCATGCCTGGCTCCTGGCCTCTGTAGTTTCCATTAGGAAAGCAAATGTCCATTTGAATAATTGTTTCCCTCCATGTAACATTTTGGTTTTCTTTTTTTTTAATTTGTTTTAAATTACACACACATCAGAGGCATGAGGTGACAGATTCTCTGGAGTTGGGATTACAGGTGGCTGGGAGTCGCTCCATGTGGTTAACAAACTCTAGCCCTCCAGAAAGCCATCTCACTAATCCCCAATATTTTGTTTTTCTTTGGCTTTCTTCAGGTTTTCATTTTTTTCAGTGTTTTTTTTTTTTTTTTTATTCTGTGTTTTTCCTCTCCCCCACCCCATGCCTCCTCCTATACCGGAATGGGACCCAGGCCTGAAACATTCTCGGCCTTCAGTTTTCTAAGTGTGTGTGGAGGTCTGTCTGTGTGTAGTGTGTGAGGGTGCAGAGGCAGAGGTGGCCTCTGTGACTCTGCTTTACTCCTTTTGAGACAGGGTCTCTCCCTGATCCTGCGGGTTGCCTTGCTTTTGGCTAGGCTGGAAGCCAGTAAGCACCCTTTGACCCTTCTGTGTCTACCCCTCTGGCCTCATTGCTGGTGTTACAGGTGTTTGTGAACTAGTGCCTGGCTTGTTATGTGAGGGCTGTAATCTCTGATCCTTGGAACAGTAATACAGAGGAAAAGAGGTCATCAGTTTGAGAGGGAGTGAGGAGGAGTATGGAAGGATGGAAGGAAATAGAAGGACATGATGTAATTATGTTATAATTAAAAAAAAAACAACACCAAATCTCATCTGGTTGTTGTTGTTGTGGGTTACTCAGGAAGGTGGAAGAAAGAGGGACACTGCAGGATGAATTTAGGCCTTGCTGGCAGGATTGGCTCTGATCACTAGCAGCTTCCTAGAAGCTTTTTATTCTTACAAAAAAGGCACTTTTAGTATTTTTCAAATACCAGAACCTCTATATCTGATCTAGGGGTTGTCTGAAGGAAACATTACCTAAGCATTTCCTAGCCTCATGAGACTTCCTGGTTTGCTAGGCATGTCTCCTGATTAAGTTAAGCAACGGCTCTGAGAATCCTTTGGAACAACTCATAAAACCTCAGGTAACAATTAGCTGACTATTAACAAAAGGCTACTCCAAAGCCTAGGTGCTTCTCTCTAGAATACAGATACACGGCTGCTAAAATTCTACTACATCTGGCCCTCATGTTCCTGCAGCAAGCTCTACATTTGAACATCACTATAGACATCCCTCTTTCAAAGATGTATTTATTTATTTAAATGTCAGGAACTCCTGCCTCTAAGCCTCATGGCTGGCTTATGGGGTTGGGGACAGCAACACAATCCTCAAGAGGTAAAGAAGGAAGCGTGGGACAGTATCCATTTTTTCAGGCTTTGGATCATGCCCTTCAAGAACTGACTTCATGGTTTACTTTTTTTTTGTTTTTTTGAGACAGGGTTTCTCTGTGTAGTCCTGGCTCTCCTGGGCTCACTTTTTAGACCAGGCTGGTCTCAAGCTCACAGAGATCTAGGCAGAGTGCTAGAGATGTGCGTCTGAGTGCTGGGATTACAGGCGTGCACTACTGTGCTTGGCTGTCACTCCAGCAGTTTAGGTGATCAGGCATCATTCATTTTCTTGCCTTGAAGAAAGTAGGCCCATGTGATTGACAATCCTGGTTTTTCCAATGCTGCTTCTAAGCTGTGCTTCATACATGTACAGGTGTTTTGTCTGTGTGCCTGGTGCTTCAGGCAACAGAATATGGGGTCAGATCACCTGGAACTGGAGCTACTGATGGCTGTGGTCTGTTACGTTGGTGCAGGGAGTCAAACCTGGGTCCTCTGAAGAGTAGCGAATGCTCTTAACTGCTGAGGCATGTTACCATCCACACCTCCCCTCTTGAGAGAGAGTTTTTTGCTCTAAAGCCCAGCCTGTACTCACTTTTAGCCCAGGTTGTCCTCAAACTTAGTGTAATCCTCTTCCTTACCTTCCTGAGTGTTAGGATTATGGACATGTTCACTTCACCTCGTCTTGAACTTTAGATTCTTTTATTTTTTTTCTTCTGAGTACCTGACGTATATCACATCCAGTGATAATTTTCTTTCTTTCTTTTTCTCCCCTCCCCCTTTTTAACTGCCAAGGAATTCAGTGTTTACTGGAGATTCACACAAATCAATCAACTGTTAAAGTAGCAACGTTCACGTTTATGATAAGAAATACATACAAAAATGAGTCTCTATCGGTACATACAGAGCTCTCCTGTTTAGTGTGACAATCCTGAGTTGTTTCTTGGTAGTTTTCTTTACTTTCTGTCTGTGGTTTGTTGATTGTCTTATATAGCGAAATTAGAATCTTTTACCAAATTAAACAACTATTTTGTCATTATTTTCTCAGTTTTTCTGCTCCATTTTTAATTATTTTTAACTTAAGGAAATACACTTATGTTAGGCCTTCCAGTATTGACCCACAGCCCTCAAAGCCTGTTTGCTGGTCCTTGCACAACTTTGTTCCAGGAATGCTGACCAGGGGAAACAAGAGAATAAAGAAAAGATAAATATTAAAGAAGCAGCAGACACACGGATACAAAATAGCTAGAATGGAGAAGCTCAGCATGGTTATTGCATCTAGCTGAACAAGGAGGCGGGGCTAGTACAGATAAACAGAGGGGCCATCTAGCTAACCTAGGTAAGGGCACACTGTAGACTCTAAGCATCTGTAGGTAGGATGCTATGTGCACTTCAGAATTCACACTTGGACTTGAGGAGTGCTTTGACATCCATCTGAGCCTCACCTACGGGAAATGTTTGCCACTCCCACGGGCTAGGTGCTTTTAGTCTCTCACATGGCTATACCCATATCAAACAATACATATTCAGGATTTCCCTCAACCCTCTGTTCTTTAAAGGAGATTGTTATATTGACCATCAACTTAGGAATCATCTTTCCTAGGTGGGTGCTGAGTGCCTCCAATCACAGTAGTGGGGTAGCAAAGGAAGGAGGACCTTGAGTTGTAGATCACCTGGGCTACATAAAAGACACGTGCCAGAAAAGGAGGGGGCGGGGAGAGAAACACCTAAACCCAGGTGTAACAGACTTCGTGCTTGTAATCTCAGCACATGGTAGGTTTATGTTGTAGAAAATAAATATAAAAATGGCTAGTAATGTTTATTGTTAAAGCCTATAAATATTACGGGGGTATTATAAGGTTATATTAGATAATGACGATTAGGCATACAACAGATCTTATATAAGAAGAGGTTTATTAGGTGGATATGAAGAGAGAGAGAGAAGGGGGGAGCAGGACATAATGGGGGGAAGAGAGAGAGGCACCCCGACAGAGAAAGGGGAGAGGGCCAAGGGAGGCCAAGAGAAGAAGAGCAAGAGAGAAGGGACCAAGAGGGGCCAAGAGAGAAAGGACCAAGAGAGGGACCACATGGCTGGCTGGTCCCTTTAAGGGAGAAGGTAACCACTCCTTCCAGGTGTGGCCACCTGGCCATCGACACGATGACATCATAAGTTCCTAGGCAACCCAGAAGCAGGTTTAGTTCCAGAATCCTAACAGATATTATCTAAAAGACACAGACAACGTGTTGTGTTTAAATAAGCCTTATTTCACCTGGGGCAGGGCAGATAGAACCTTCCTAAACTACCTTTTGTCTTCCAGTCCTCTATCCTATGCTTATTGCTCTAATCACTCCTGTCTTGACTATTTCCCATCCACAACCCACAAATACTTGCATATGTCTGTCATCTGGGTCCTTTCCTCCATCCACTCCAATCTGGCCATGTGCTTCTCC